AAAAAAAAAAGGAAAAAATGTGATTTTTTTTTATATTCAGATATTCTCATGATGTTTTATTCTGGTATATCAATAATTCCATTTATAATTAATATTTTGAAAATAAAAACATTTTTTGTCAAATCCATATCTTGACATTTAAAGACATTATGGCAATTATGGTTACCTCTATATCGAATGTTATGACAAAGGGGACTACTTTGATTATCACGTTTACTTTTTTTTCGTTAATAACATTTCTGCCTTCATCATGACACAAATGATTCACTACACCAGAGTACAGCTGTTTTGTATATAACCACCCTGTTTACCTATAAGATATGTAATCAGGTTTTTCCAACGGAGAGGCTACCGTCTACTCTGTCTAATTTTACGGTCGCCAGTATAGTCTTATCTCAAGCTACGATACCGAGGTGTTTACAAGGCTTGTGTTGCCGATCTTTGGTGACCTGTACATACACAGGATCATATGATTTATATCAACTTCTTTTGTACTACATCACTCTAGAGGTAGACCTATAAATGATCTGTGTGATATTTTTGACCTAACTAATCTTGTTAAAACTGCAACATGCTTTGTAAAAGACTGCACACCTTCTCTTGTTGATGTTATTCTTACCAATAGCTCAATTTTTTGTTTTAACACTTTTAATTTTAGCTGTGGTACAAGTGATTGGCACAACATTACTGGAACTGTAATCAAGGGTGCAGTACCGAAGGTCAAACACGAAAAGGTTTTTAAAATTTCGATGGGAGTTTTTTTAACAGTGATTTATCTTTTACACCTTTTCATGTATCTTTCATCTTTGATGACTTGGATGATATTTATTGGGCACACGAGTATTTACTGCGTGAGGTGATGGACGCCCATATACCTATTGTTGAGAAGGAATAAACCTCATCAAGTCACCTTATTTTAACAGTGAACTCCGCAAAGCAGCTTTTAGAAAACGAATGTTATTCAATAAGTACAAACTATGTATGAGTAATGCAAACTGGGCTAAGTACCGGAAACAGAGACATTTGGTGGTTAAGTGGCGGAGGTACTGGAAACAGAGACATTTGGTGGTTAATTGGCGGAGGTACCGGAAACAGAGACATTTAGTGGTTAAGTGGCGGAGGTACCGGAAACAGAGACATTTGGTCGTTAAGTGGCGGAGGTACCGGAAACAGCGACATTTGGTGGTTAAGTGGCGGAGGCACCGGAAACAGAGACATTTGGTGGTTAATTGGCGGAGGTACCCGAAACAGAGTCATTTGGTGGTTAAGTGGCGGAGGTACTGGAAACAGAGACATTTGGTGGTTAAGAGGCGGAGGTACCGGAAACAGAGACATTTGGTGGTTAAGTGGCGGAGGCCTTCTATAAGAAAATATTTTTTCGAGAGATGTGCAGGTGATGCCAAGTACTTCTGGCCCACAGTGAAGCCTTTTCTATCTAACAAAGTAAAATCAAGCGGTGTACTACAATTCTCTGTGAAAATGATCAGGTTATTTCAAACCAGAAAAAGGTTTGTGATATTTTTAATGATTACTTTGTACATGCTGCTGATGATATTGGAAACACCCTGTACAGGATGAAAGTGCAGATAGTGTAGCAAAGATTATCTGTAAGCTTGATTATAAAAAAGTATGTAGGTGTTGATGGTGTTCATGCTAAGGTTCTTACGGCAGGTTCTTCTTCCTTAAGCTCTACCTTTGCCCCTTTATTTAATCATTGCCTTGAAACCAAGTCTTTTCCTCATAATTTAAGGCTGGCACATGTTGTTCCAATTTTTAAAAAGAAGTATCCACTTGAAAAACAGAATTACAGACCTGTCAGTATTTTACCATCTACTTCAAAGATTTTTGAGAGAATTTTACATGATCAATTAACCAACTGTTTTAATCCTAATCCTGCTCGAGAAGCTAACTGCCTATGGGTTGGACGAGGCCGCAGTCGGTCTCATCAGTAGCTATCTCGGGGGCAGATTTCAGCGGACTAGGCTGGGGTCCAATGTCTCTTGACTGGGAGCAGTTGGAGAAGGGGGCATCTCAGGGATCTACTTTAGTACCTTTAATTTTCAATATTTTTATAAATGACATCTTTTATTATGTTCATAAGGGTACCCTTTATAATTATGCTGATGATAACACACTGTCGCATATTGACTCTGACCCTGTTCAATTAAAGAATACACTCGAAGGGGAGAGTAATATTTTAATAAAATGGTTCGAGGATAATGGTATGAAGGCTAATCCTGACAAATTTCAGGCTATATCCATTGGGAAGAAAACTCACAATATTATATCTTCCTATACTGTTAAAGACAATGTTATAAAATGTGAAGATGTTGTTAAAACTTTTGGGTGTAGACATTGATTTTAACTTAAAGTTTGACTTTCATGTGTCAAACATTTGCAAGAAAGCATCCAAACAGTTATGTGTTTTAAAACGGTTGGCTGCAATCAAAACCAACCGTGGAAAATTTTGATTTTTAAATATTTTATTCTTTCAAATTTTAATTATTGTCCCCTGGCATAGCATTTCTGCAGTTTGAATTCCACAAGAAAGATGGAGAAGATACAAGAAAGAGCCGTTCGTTTTATTGAGGATGACTACACAACACCTGTTTTAGAACTTTTACCAAAAGCAAATTTATCTTTTCTTCATTTAAACAGAATTAAAAAACGATGGCTTGTGAAGTTTTTGAAGTTATTACCAATGTAGCTCCGGATTATTTATGTAATCTTTTAACCATTAAATCGTCTTTTTATAACCTCAGGAATGAAAGACAGCTGGAGCTACCAAGAGTAAGAACAACCTGGTATGGACTTAAGTCTTTTCGCTACGAGGCCGACCGGGTGTGGAACAGTCTGCCAAACCATTTGAGGAAGATGGATAGTTATCCAGAGTTTGCTAGACTGCTGCACTCCTGGGATGGCCCCGTTTGCTCATGTCGTATCTGAACCTGTTTCAATTTTTACTCTTTTGCTATATTAGCATGTATGCACATTACACTTGAAGTTGAACTTAACCCTCCAATGTATTATAGCAACACCTGTGTGATATGCAGGTGTTTCACTATTATCACTTTACATCATTTTTAGTATAGTATTTTAAATTTAGTGCCTGTGATATCTATTTATATGCTGCTATGTTATTGTATGTTTTACTCGCTGATTATGTGCTAGCTCTCTGTGATAGTGAATAACTTGATTTGTTGTTTTCTGTTTGCTTTTAACCATGTTTGTCGCAAAAATAGCGCTACAAAAATGTTTCTCTGTTTTATATATGATATAATAAAGTTTCTTGTGTCTTGTATAAGACCAGCTCAGTCTTTCTATTTTAGAAGAAGATTTTTCTTCTTATTTTTCGGTGACGTTTATAAAAATATTTTCAACATTAACGTTTATGTAAAACATAAGATATACTTAAATGTTATAACAACTTCAATTCCACAGAAAGTTTAAAAGCACAGTATTAAAGTACACGACATCAAACACAGGGTTACTGGAAATCCAAAAAAATATACTCGGGTGTAAATTGTAGATTAAATCTCAAATAATACTTTTAACAACAAAAAATGAACGCTTCTTATTTTAGTTTACCTGTTTCTTATTTCGAGATAAAGTATACGTCACTCGAATGCTTACGTATGTAAACAATTGCCCCATCGGTACCCCATCAGACCACTCTACCTGGCCACGCGTTCTGATTTGTGACACGTGATAAAATAATTATTATAGTAGAGTGCATATCCAAAAATAAATATGTATTACAAAGTTAAGTTCGATTAAGCTCACCTGTGAGAGTTGTTTTGAACCCCTGATCGCCTTTGATGAAATGAGACACCTGCACAACAACGATGATTTCCCGAGAGCTGCCATCTCGGAATTACCTTTGAGGTCAAAGGTCGCTCATGTTATCTTTAACGACCGGTAAAACCCGGCCAATCCCGGTACAAATCGGCAGAACCCGGACGGTTATTTTTCATAATCGGCAGAGTTATTACAAAGAAAAAAGAAAAGAAAAAATGGTAATAACGGGAGCATTTATAGACTTTCGCCTGTATGATAGACAAGTTTGTGTATTATACACAAGTTAGTGGTTTTCCCCGACCTATATAAAGCCGATAGTTTCTAATTATTAGACAAGGGGGTTTTCGATTTCAAACTTTCAGATGGTGTTTATACATAAAACGAAGAAACGTCTTGACCATGCCGATCGTGTATACTTCTGACTTTATATAAAGTCTTGAAACTGCAGACTCTTCTAAATCAGCCGCTTTCCACAATCTCTACTTAGCTGTACAATAACCTAAGTGCGATGATTTCAATGTTCCTATCTTGAACTTCAATCTATAATGCACTGTGCGTACATGTCACAGTTGATGTCACAAAAGCTCGAGCTTGCTCCGTATACCATTATTTCCGTGATAGACGTCGACTGCTGAATGATAAACTAACAACACTCAAGGGTTTCGAAGTTTCGGAAGATCCGGGTTAACGATGACTTTGGACAAGTTTTATGTGCGCCATTATAAATAATCTCACTGGGAAATATTCTATTTGCTTGTGTGGTATGAAGGTCGATTGTTTGCCTTGTTGCGTTGTCGATACACCGCTTACCATTCCGGAACACCTGGGCCCGTATTATTTTGTCAGTGATTTGAGAGGAAAAAAATAAGAGACTTAAAGACAAATACTGTTTTCAATGTTTAGATTCGACGTTTTTATCGTTTCACATGATTTAAGTGAGAACAAGTAAGTAGGTTTGAGCACAAAATCCATGCTTGAGCATGAGAACGGTTTTATGAATACGGGTCCAGATCTAACTTGCCTTGTACTTTTTCAATGGTCTCCGTGTAAATTAGTCCTCTTTTCCTCCGTTTATATTTCGTTCTTCGTTTTCTTGACTTGGAGTTTGAAGTATGGTTTTGTTGAAATTTTGGTATTCTCTTGTTACTCCTTTTTTTTATATTCTATGGAATGTATTTCCCTCTGTCATGACTTGAAATATCGATTCCTTGTACGTGACGCTAAACTTCTACGGCATACTGGGCTCAACGCATTCCTAGATAAAGAGATTTCTGGAAGGACCGTCCGGACTAAGTGCGTCATGCTAGAATTAACCGTAGTAGTCAGTAGAGAGTCCGGGAAAGGTCTCGGACACCTTAGTCTTTCTAATAATAGCTTTCATAGACACATTATACCCAGAGTTAGCATCCGGGCACCTAACTATCCGACATCTTCTACATCTTCCACTCGACGGAACCACCCTTTTTAATATCATTTCTCTCTTCTACCAAAATTTTCACATTTAGGCACAGATTTTTCAATCGATCATTCGGGATCCCCTATTGGGATCCCTTAAGACTTAGATATAACACTTGTAATCTGGTAAAATATTACATTTTCATTATTTTCTTGATCTAGAAATGGATGAAAGAAATATTGTCTTTCGACGTTTTTTTCTGTTATAGATTTCTATATGTATTTATCATTTGAATTAATTGTTTAATGTCCACTATACAATACCTATCTACCTGTCATTAAATACCTTACAACCAAAATACTTATCTAAATACAAATGTACCTATCCTTACGCCAATAATATGAGAGAAATATCTTTCTACCAAAAAATATATGTATTTATCCCCATAAAATACTCAACCACCACCCTGCTACTCTCAATAAATAATATCCTCCATCCCATAAAACACCTTTCCATCCCCATAAAATAGCTTTCTACCGCCTATGAAATATTCATCGTTGCACCAATTCTTTTAAATTCCTGTCTGTTCCTATAACATATTTCTCCAAAAATCAATCTAACTGCCCCAATGAAATAATTATCTAACCAAATATAATATCTTTCTAACCCATTAAATGTGTATCTACCCTCATTATTTACACTTATAAAATACCTTTCCACCCCTATAACATACAAATCTGTCTGCATGGAATGCTTATTCACCCCCATCAAATATATAGCTAAAATACTTTTCTATTCCAATAAAATACCTTTCCTACTAAATAAATACCCAAGTATACCTATAAGATAAGTATCTACTATCGTTAAGTACCTATATACCCAACATAAAATACCTGTATATCCACAAAAGAATGTCCATCTTTCCTTTACCATAGCCATGAATTATACCTATGAACCTGATTAAGATACCTCTTGGCGTTTGATGCTGGAGTATCTGCTGAGATATGTTATGATGCTATTTATTTTCCTGTATAATTATATTGCAATATATTTCATTCATTCAAACATATTGTATTGGTGAATAACAATTAAAGGGACAAGTTCTCACAACCTACAGACGCGGATTTAGCCCCAAGTTGCAACTTGCAACGCTCGGCGGAAATATACTAGCATAAGTTGCATAATTATATTATTGAACGCTCGTTATAGATGATCTGAAAATTAATACTTTTTATTGTAACCTTCCTAACCGCCCGGGCGATATTAATCATATCATTATACAAGAACGATAAAGGTTTTTTTCGGCTGACAATATTATGTATAATCGATTAAACATATCCATTCAATTATTTTGGTATTATATATATTGTTGGAACTGTTTAACTATCTTGTATGTACAACATAATATCTCATTGTGGTACTTATAGCTTACCATCGTGTACGTACAAGAAAGTATCTTCACACAGCATACTATTGTGTACGTAGTAATAAGTTGTACGTACCAGAATGAGATGATATGCTGTACTTACAAGTATGATAATTTTAAATTAAATTTAAAGGTGACGCGTATGTGCCTCCTAAGTTGTACCATTTTAACCAGATAGCTTAGCAAATGTACCAC